TTTTCTTTAGGCATTCGTATAGCTCTGCTGTATGATTTAAGCACTAACTCGTTCTAGGTTCCGAGGTTGTCGTCCGATACGACGTAAACCCTCATATCTTCTAGACGATTTGTGTGACCATGTCACACAAATATAAGCCCTAATTAAATAAATTGGCAGGATGAAACCTTTTAATAATTTCTTCTCGAAACTGAAGCTCAATCATAGGATAGACTGGGAAGCCACCGAGGTTCGCCTCCGGGTCTGTGACCTCCCCAAACTTTTTAGCTGCCAGCAATTACCAGAAAGACTCCAAGATTTATACGGTTAGACTACAACAAAAGTCTATGTCCACTGGAAGGAAAGAGAAATCAATCCACCAAAGACATACAAGTCACAAGCTTCGTGACATGTGCATAATGAATAATTATCGGTTCTTAAAATCAAGTGCACCCACATATAACCAAAGAAGAAGCCTGATAAAAACTTACATACAAGATGATTAACTCTACCAAGATAGTGGCCACCAAGAGAAAGCCAGCTATAATGCTCACTGATGACGCAAGCAAATGTAGTCATCCTAAATTTACCAACTCTTAAAATAAACTAAAATTGAGAGATATGCACTCCATGGAACTCTAGCTGAGAGAGTATGCTTACTTATTCAATATCACGCAGCTCCAAGTCGACAAGGCGATACTTGATGGAAACTTCTGTAGCTTTGCTTTAGAAACCCTAGAAGACGATATATCCTTATAACCAAATAGACAGTCATACCTTTCTAGCTCCTAAAAAATGTTCAGGAAGTGGGTTTGACGAAGACGTGATTGTATAAAGGTAAGGGAAGGATAATATGAGGGATGCGACATTTAGAGAGGAATAACGCTGCCATCCAGACTGAAAACAGCAGAGGGAGCCATGAAATTATTATATATAGACTGTTAGGAGGATCAATGACCTATTTCTGAGCAAAATACAAACATAGCACTTGCAAAAGCACTAAAGAGTGTAAAACAGAGAACAAAAAGTCTTCAAAACACAAAAGCTAAAATTCTGAAAAAACAAATAGGTGATCTAAGATATAAATAGTCCACTACTAAAAAGAAATCATAATTCTTATTAAATAACAAAAAAATGTGGGCCCACAAAATCATAGCAGCAATAGATTAGCGGGAGAATCCTGCTTGCTCAAATACAACATAGAAATTCTCATCTCCGAAGCGTATCGGGTTTGCGGGATCACAGAAATCTGGTTTCCAATTCGGGAGCCCTACATAAATCGCGGGATCCAGTTATTCCGCGATTGCAAAATTGATTGCAGTCTTGCACTTCTATGGGGCTCCGCAATACAACAAACATGATGCTTGACGTCAGTGTCATTCTCCTTGGGTAGAAGGATCTTCATCTTATTCTCCGAAAACTTCTAGAATAAATCAACCACTAACCACTAGCATAACAAAGTCATCATCTTAATGTGTCTAAAGTATTCCCATTTTAAAATCTATGCTCATATCTATTTCATGCAATTCTAAAATACTTATGTCCTTCCAAAACATACCTTGATAGAATAAATAGTCATTCCTTCTATAGCACAATCAAAGCCAAAGCTGCATCTAAACTAGTACTCTCAAAAGTCGAATCTCTAACTATGAAGAGTAGCATATTTTTGTGATTTTTCATGCTCAGCAGGTTGATTCAGCAGAAAAAAATCCTAGAGTGGAATCTATGACATGTTGAATCTCTCTCGGTGGTCCCCGAAAAATAAACCGTCAATCAGGACATCCGATAACTCCCTCAACGAGGGTTAATCTTTTTCTAGTATCAACTCCTTGGGTTCACTACCATCTAGGACAACCAATGTTAGTCCTACTAAAGTCTCTTTCATAAGAATTGCTTGATTCACTAGTATCTCTCTAGCGCCGGCTGGAAGCTATTACACCTCTCTGACATCTTCATTTTCCTCTATATCACTATCAATCTCTTCAGTTGCTTTTTGTTTCGTGAAAGAGGTTATTCTTTTGTTTGGAAAATCTAATACAATGCGTCCAAAACCACAGCACTTGAAACACTCTATGGATAGAAAAAATTTGAATATGTTGGTTGGCTCCATCTATTGTCCACTTTGAACTAGGCTTGAATGCTCTACTAAATGTACTCTTGTTGTCTAATCTTGAGGTTGAACTTTATCTATAAAGTGTGGCAATCATCTAGTGACATTGTTTCTCCACCATTAAAACTAGGGTTTATACATCCTGTAAGTCCAATATAGTTGCAATTGTACCATGTTACCAATGGATGTCTCAATCCCCTTAAATATTGAGTTATGGTGTTCTTCTCGGGCAAAACCAGTTTATAGTTCGACATAAGTCGATCGAACCAGTATATATATCCTGTACTGAGAGGCATTTTTTGTGTAAGTGATGAAATCTCAAGAATATGTCATGTATGTAATACGTTGGTATTTACTTGCATTGCATCTCTCATTTTAATTTGGACCGTGAAGTGATTTACTTTTTTCCTCACATTGGTGTAAGCATTTCAAATTTTTCCACCACAAAAAATGTTCAAGATTAACTCAATAGTGGCTAGCTTGACCCTTCTATCCGATGGGATGTCATTTTACTCAAAAAATGTTTCACTTCCTAGAGCTACACGATGACCAAGTCTCGATCCATGAGACTATCAAAATCCGGCAAGTGAATCTTAACTCCAAAATTTTGGCTTCTACTCTTATCTTTAGGATAATGATTCTTCATTACAAAAGAATTGTATGGTAAGAGGGATTCATTTTATCCTTTCAATCTGACAAATCATCGTTGTGGCTATGGGTGACCTCACTGAAATATCTCCTCTTAAAGTCCGCAAGTTTTCATTATAGTTGGAGAATTTCTTGCCGCATAACCTCTATAGAAAGTTTTTGGATATCTCGCTAAGAGTTTTTCCTTGGATTCTCCCAATAAGATTTTTGTTAGGTGTAAGGCAGCAAATCAAGATTGATTAAGGGCTTAGGTTTTGGTGGCAGGTGTGGGGATGAATTTTTCTTAAAGATATAAAGATTAAATTTTAAAAGTTAGAGTTGGGGGAAGAAATTATGGTAGGAATTGTTAGGGTACGGGGGAGAAAATTTTTCTGAGTCAAAAGTTGTATGGAATTTTTTGTTTAGATATAGGAAAAATAAATCCCTAAAAATTCAGGATTTGTCAAGTTCTGATACCAGATGATATTGTTCAAGAGCTTCTAGAATGTGCTTCAAAAGCGGGTTTGAAGAGGAGATGATTGTGGAATGGTAAGAGAAGAATAATATGGGTGGTCGACGGCATTTGGAGGAGAATAAAAGATGTTCGGCTGGTGTACCGGCTGAAAATAGCAAACGGAAACATGAAACGATGATATGCGAAAAATGAATAAGGTCTACCACATGTTTCCAAGCAAGATAAAGACACGCTGCTTGTAAAAGTAAATGAGACAAAACACCGAAAAGCATATAACAGAGAACAAAAGCCTCCAAAACACAAACAAAAGCCAAAAGTCTAAAAAAAAACAAGATACAGTACATCAATAATCACTTACAAGAAAGAAACCCTAATTCTAAAAAATAACATAAAGCCTGGGCCTAAAATGGCTTAGCAGTAGTAGATTAGCGAGAGAATATTGGTAGCTCAATTACGAGATAAAAAATCCCATCTCCCAAACGAATCAGGATTGTGGGATTGCAAAAACCTGTTTTTAGTTTGAGAGCCCCCTGTAGGGATCACGTGATCCAGTTATTCCGCGATTAAGGAATTGATCGTGGTCTCACGCTTCTACGAAGTTCTGCGATACCATGAAAACACTGCTCAACATTTGCGTCAAATAGATTCATGCAAATCAAGAAAAACTTAATTGCATGCACATTGCTAGATGAGTATGTGTTATTCTTGAGAAGGCCAAATGTTTAAGTATAATACCCAAAAATATAATTGATATTTCAACTATGTGAATTAAAAAGTGGTGTATATCCTAGAAAATCAAATCCTATTTGAACTTGCTAATGACTGGTATTGACCATCTAATTGATCCAAATCAAATTAGGGATGCTATAAGTATATCTTAATTACAATTGATTCAATTAATAATTCTTCCTCTTAACTTAATATTGTCGCAGAATTTCTTGAATTTTGTAATAGTATAACAAAGCATATCAATGGTTTGAGGTATGTCGGGACTTAATCCGAGTAGCAATTAGCATAGTAAATAGACTAATTTATAGAACTTAAAACCCAAGTGGCTTACATAGTCAATCCATTTATAAAAGGATTGTGGATCTGGGTTAAGATCAAATTAAGTCATTTAAAACCCAATCTAATATATATTCATATTTACCTTTTCTTGGGCTCATTCAATATTGGCCAACTTTATTCCAGACCATTCTAGTAATTCAAGTATGTTCGACATTTCAAAATATAGGCTTCGAAATCTTGCTCCGACAACCCCTTGTCCATGACTTGCCTTCGGTTCAATAGCCGACAATCTTCCCTTTGTTACCTAGTGTACTTACTAGCATTTCTCTTGCCATATGGCCTTTGTCTTATCGATACCCCGCTGGCAACTTCCTTCTCACCTTACAAGCAAGTGCTTCTCAATCCCTTGGTCGACATCCCCTGAAGTCACCCCAAGTCTTCATGGCAACTTCAATTTGTTAGCACCTTGGCAATTCATCTTAAGAAGCCAACTTCAACTTGCACTATCCTAGTGGTCAACTTCCAGTAATCTTTCCAACATATAGACAATCCTCGAGCAAACTTTAAAATTGCATACCCCTTTGGTCAACTTGATCCTTAAGTCACTTGCCCTTTCGATCGACTCATTCCACACCTTTCAATGGATTAGATTTCGCCAACACCTAATGATCACCTTCTCAAACCCATTTGATCAACTATAGTCACCTTTGCTACCAGACCGACTTCTTGGAGTCCAACCCAACTCATCGGTTAGGTCACATGGCCGCCTTTTTTTCAGCATGTCTTGGTGAATGTAAAAATCATATATGTCAAAATCCACTTTCCAACATTAGTAGCCTTGAGTTGGTTGTTTTATCCCTGATTCCTCATATGTTTCTGTTCTTATGAATAAGGACCTAATATTGGAAAAAGGAGTCATTTCATCTTGCCAACTTCAATATCACGATAGTTGAGGCCAATAAATGTCAGCATCTCTTTCCATAGCAACATGTTCTCGCATGGCTTTCCTAGCATGAGGGACAAGGCAACCAATAACTATACTCCTGCCACAAATTTGAACTCCTCGAGATTCAAATTTTTTGAATCTTGAGTTCACTTAACCATTGGAATTTTAAGATCACTCTCAATTTGATTGCTAAATTCCCTCCCTTGGGTTCATATTATTTGAATTTGAAATTTCTGTGCTTTAGCATCTAGAAGGCTGGGATTCTCAAATTCCCCTCCTCGAGTTATCAAACTCTCCAACCTCCTTGTTCATGAGTTCTATAGCCATCCTTGGTCATGAGCTCTCAACTCACCCACCCCCATCTCCTTTAATCCACCTCTAATTGCCCAATAATGACTTAAGCAAATTGGCTGCATCTTCTTCCCAACCTTCTCGGCTTCATGAATCCCGTGAGGCCATGTAAATTTCTTGATTTCCTTTGATCATAACCCTGCATGAAGTAACCTTTTTGCCACCTTCTCATTATCTTCTCATGTATGCATTTCTCGCCGTCTATTTTTTCCGCCAAATCTTCCACCTCGCATTCTTTAGGTTGCCATCACTCAAAACGAAAGGGAAGGGTTGGCAACCCAGTTAAAGTCCCGATACATAGCCAAACACCTAATTAGATGAATAAGATGAACTAATGCAATGCAGTGCAGCACCCCACTCCCAATTAGGTATAAATACTTTGATAATGATTCCGAAAATGAGTAGCACTCCAATGAAGCGCTTCTGCAAAATGTTGAAACGAATCCATAGCGAAAAATCACAGAAATCACAGCATACAGAAGATGATCACAAGCTGAGTTCCAGGAAGAGAAACGATTAAAGTCAAAGAAGACCGATTTGAACCTGGAGAAGCGGAAAGCCAACGAGGCGCCAAAGAGACTAAGATGAGAGGAAGAGGACCTGAGGTATCGAGCAGCCTCAGTCCCCCCATTGCTGTTTCAGCGAAGGTATGAGACGAAACGAGAGGCCACAAAGCTTACGGTCTTATGCGTAAGATTCAATTATCTGAAAGCAATCCCTTTTGTGGAGAAAAATGTGAGTACGTAAGAAGGAAGTAAGCAGAGTCAGGAGGGTTATTGCAGGGCTGTAAACGGGTTGAGCTTGAGCTAGTTTAGGCTTCGCTCATGTTCGGCTCGTTCGAAGTAGCTCATGTTCGAAATCGGCTCATGAACAGTGTGTTTGTGTTCGGCTCAATTTAAATATTCGTGTTTGTGTTCGGCTCGTGTTCGGCTCAAAATTGGCTCGTTAAACTAAAATTGAGAAAAATAAATGTAAAGTGTGGGATTCGAACATGGATCAAATCTATACAAATGAAGACACTAATCACATTATCACATAAGGTGTTATGATTTAAACTTAGACATAAATATATATAATATATTATTATATAAATAATATATGTAATATATTGTTATATAAAAAGTTATATAATTTTTTTTTCGAGCCGAACACAAGCGAATAAACTGTTGTTCGTGTTTCGCTCGTTTACATTTTGAGCTTAAATTATATAATTTTTTTTTCGAGCCGAACACAAGCGAATAAACTGTTGTTCGTGTTTCGCTCGTTTACATTTCGAGCTTAAAAATTTATTCGTGTTCGGCTCATTAGGCTTAACGAACGAGCTGAACATGAGCTGCGTAACGAGCCGAACACAAGCTGTTCACGAACAACGAGCCAAATCGACAGCCCTAGGTTATTATGGTTATATCCGTATAACCTTTTTGTAAATTAGCTTGTAACCTATCTGTTAGTAAGTTGTGTGTTTATGTAAGTTATAGGAAAGCTATAGGGGGTCTAACGCAGATATAACATTAAAATACTCTCTCTATAACCTACTGAACGTACGTAGCACCGAGGTACGTAAATTTTTCCCCTTTTGTGTTTATTTTTTTTTTGCGATCAGGTATTTTGATATTTACAAATTACGTATTGAAAGTGATTTTTGTAAATCGATATATTAATTTGATTAAAATGAAAAATATGGATTGTGGTTTTATCATGAATTTTAATCTTTAATAAACTTCTATATATACATATATAACCACTAAACTTATTAAGTCATGTAAGACAATTGTATGATAAACAAATAGAAATTTCTAAAATTTTAAAATAAGTTTCAATTTGCATTTTGATTTAATATTTGAAAGAAAAAAAACAAAGCTTATCATATCAACAAAATTGATATAATTTGTGCGCTTAAATTTATGTGATGGTATGATTCATAAGAGTAATATTTTAATGGAAGGTTTGTATACTTGCTACTTAATCCCTATGTATTTAGATATGAAAAGATCAAAACTTTAATCTTTACATATGTGATGACTTACCTATGAATGGAATGTGTATTTCGGTTGGTCAAGGCGTTATAAATACAAAATGTAAAATTTAGGTTTTATCTCATTTTTAATTATATATAGCCATTATGTAATTATTGTGACATCTAAAATTACATGATGGAGTCCAAAGTGAAATGATAATTAGGCAATATCTTACTAGATTTTTCAAATGAAATCAATGGAGTACAATATGTGGGAAATGGGGCTAATCAAATAGTTTTGTTTTTTACAATAGAATACAAGTTATGTAACGGGCTAATTACAAAATATATTAGGGATTGTGCGGAGAGAGAGCATTGGCACTACATATGTAACTCTATTAATGAGATTTTGACATAGTTTTATGAAAAAACAGTTCTTCTTTCACCATGACTGTTTGAGAAAATTTATGTGAGGAACAAGTTAATTGCAAAACATATTTGTTGAATTGATTGAGGGAACACATCAAAGTACTCGGTAACATTGAATAAATCATATTGTTATCACGTGCAATAAATTTGATGCAAAAACCAAGTTAATGAAGGACACTCTGATGTGTTGTGATAAATGCTCTCATGTGGGTGAAGCTAGTAATTAATGGCATTGAAGCAAGTGTTCAACATACGCCAATGGTGTTTTATAAGTTAAATTTTGAGAAAAATTAAGAATTATTAAGAAACGTTATGGTATACCATGAAGATCCTTCTCGAGAGAGGTTATTCCCAAGAAGTATACACCACGGTTACTTCCTAATAGCAACTAGTAAGTGGAATTGTATTATTTGTTAAGCTATAATGATTTCATATTTAATGTATATATCCAAGTGGACAATGGAGGTTGCTTTAAGAACTTCTAAAAAAACTTTGAAGCTACAACTTTCTCCTTTAATCTCCTTATTAGGTTGAACAAGAGTGAACATATTTGCACTTTATGGCCAAATCCATAACTAGGAATGAGATTCCAAGATGTCATTTGTCATTCTAGCTTTATTTATATGCCTCCAAAGGGAATTACCAATTTGTAGCTAAAGATTCTTGCTCATGGGATTGTATTCTTTATGAAAGTTTTCACCATCAATAAGAAAACATCTATAGATTGAAGTTGGGACCCTTTTGCTCAACTATTAATTTAACTTGAGCTTTTCATAAGTTATGCTCCCATAATTTTAATTTTATTGCTAATCATTTTTTCCCTTTTCAAGCAAGACATAAGGAGGATCAAAAATAAGTTTCCTCACATCCTTTCCATTCTCATTTTCTTCTCCTCTTACTTTATCTTTTGTTCAACAATCATTAATCCTTGTCAATAAAGATGTGCTTCATGGCATCCATCTCATATTTAGGGGTAGACTTAATAATGAATAAGCACAATATATATTAAGTTTTGCTCTTTCTTTTGAAATCTACAAAAACGTTCATAACACCTCTTGAAGGTGGACATGGTATGAGGGTCATCTTGAAAATACGACAATCACTGGTATTCATACAAATAGTAGCATTAAATACATTATCAATTTTATATTTTAAACAAATGTTTTGGAAAATCTTTTGGGGATTGTCCGCCTAAGAAAGTTTCTCATGAGGATGTCTTTCATAAGTCATGTCAAAAGTTACCTCTCTCGAAAAGAAACTATGACAATCTACAATTTCTTAAAGCAGTTATCATTCATCCCAACATTTCACTAAACACAAATAACTCTTTATGGATGAACTTCAATTACTTGTTATAATGACATTTATCATCACTAGTATGTCCTATAAAGCAATTATCAAGGCTTAGTTGTCGCATTTGTGATTGTTTATTATGAATATTTAGGCATTGAAATTGTATTTATTGTACATGATAAAAATATTAACAATACGATGATCCATAGCCCCCAATCAATTTTTATATTTCATTAAGCAGAGGATGTCATCTTTAATGTATTTCACCTATTATTTTTCATGGTAGTTATAATGGTTTCGTCTATACTCATAAGAGAGTTACCTCCATAAATACTAATATACAATTTAGCTTGAAAGAGATTGCATACCCATTATCAATATTATCTTTAAACAACTTTAGAATTTACTTTTTCTTGCACAAACATCAGAGACCTTAAAAGTATTTTTCTCCCACATATAACAGTTTGATTTCATAAACTTAATATAGATGTGTGTGTGTGTGTGTGATCTGATCCAAATGTCCTTGACCAAAATAGAGCAGATACAAGAAAGACACGTGCCGTCAATTTGAATGAAAGAAGATATCCTAAGAAAATATATATGCTTTCACATGTATTTTATTCAAGCATCTCATAGAATAGTTCGATTCCAAGGACTCAAAGATCTCGCTCGATAAGAAAATGATTATTGTTGGACAACCAAACACAGGACTCAAGGAACTCAACTCGTGAGTAACATGACTTATGGAACTCGACTCGTGAATATCATCTATGATTGATTGGAAGGGAGCTCGCTACAACTTGGTTGTGCTTGATTATCTTATTAGATCTTAAGCATCATTAATTACTCAGTCATCTCCTAGTCGCCCCATAACATCATATATTTGAATTAGCTCTTGGTCATCATCGACTTTTGGACTGCCCCTCATCTATCTACTAGTCCTACATCGCCCAAACACCATAAAAGCCCTCTACCTCTCACCTTTAAAACACAGGTCAAACGCTGACGGTCAGTCCCACACTTGAACGATTGAGGAATGGAAGGAAATGGTCGCTGATAAGCCACATGAATCCTTTTCGGTTGGAAAACTTATTTTAATTATTATATGTTTTTGTCCTATTTAATTAATGTTAAATAATGTTTAAGAAAATTTTAAGAATGTTATTTAATTAGGAATTTGCAAAGTTAATTTAATTTAATTATGATATATAATTGTGATTAATAAAATAAACTAATATAATATTTAATATTTAAAAATATATTAATTAAGTACTCTTATGAAATTTCAATTATCAATTAAATTAAACGAATTATACACAAGGTTATTTAAGTATTTATGCCATAATTCATGTAAAGGAAAAATAAAACTGATAGAGGCTGATAAGTGTTAACTTGTTATTATATGTGCATTTAAGAGCAAGTTTCATCTGAGGAATAAAACAGTGTACTTTAGATTACATCGTAGGGGTAGATAAATATATTTTATTTTATAATAGTTATGTTTATTTACTATTTCTCGGCTTTTATTTAAAATGCAAAAGTACGTATTTTCTTTTAAATTTTGAATACAAGAAAAATAAATACAATATGTTACATGTATGTGGGAGTCATTTATTGATGGTAATGATAGGGTAGTGCAGTGCAACCATGCATGAAAATTAAAATTAAGATGAAAATGAAAATAAAAAAGGTTGTATGCTTTTATACTGGTTGTAAAATATTAAATGCATATTTGTATAAAATATATGTTTAGATGTTGACTCAAAATTGAAAAAGCATAACATAAATAACAAAAAGTAAATGAAATTGATTTTTTAATGTTCTCTTTTATTACACAACATTTTATTTTTCACTAACACTTTTTTTAAATATTTTAAATTTAGAAATATTTGTCTACCGGGTAGTTTTAACTCAAACCTTAGTTGCTAATAATTTACAGTAAAATATGGTGCTTGCGCCAGAAAGCAAACGATAATGCGTGGGAAGCTTGACAAGCCTGGGCATGCACTCAATCTATCTATCACGAAAATTGCACTGAGCCCGACTACAACAGGTCTGTGGTGATTTTCGAAGCAAAAGCACATTGTTAGTCACATTTGCTTCGACATGCCTCCAGTTGAACCTTCAATGAAATTATTTTCTTAGTCTTAGGTAGACAGACTACGGTTTGGCGTACTACAGGGAAAATGTCCAGTGGATTGGGTATGGGTATTGGACAAATCTGTCTGGATATGTTCAGAAGAAGAATAGATGGTAGAAAAGCACCATTGAGGTGGCGAGTCCCATATGATGAGTGATGATCACAAAAGTCCTAACAACCGCGATGGAGTTTGACATCACCTGCATCAGGATGACTCTGTAAAAGTAAAAGACGTCATGTAATTCATCATATAATGGGATTCAGAGACCTAGCCATAAATGATCTCTATAAAATGCCGACTCGATCATGCTACAAGTATTTGACCTCTCCACCTGACCGACGTTACGAAGGTCGATTGAAGGATTGATGACATGAAAACTCATACAGTACTTGGTAACATTATCTTTGATCATCCTTTACTAAATGAAAAAGCTAGCAACCATAGAACCCACGAAAATCATGTCATATAGGTAAGAAGATAAAAAGCACTGAAAAAGAAATCGAGACATGACAAAGTTAAAGTAGTCGACAAAAAGGGCATATTTGTGAGTTCTCGGTGAAGGTCGTCTTCAATTGCTTCATCACAATGACCTCCTCTTCCAATCTTCCCTCACATGATGATAAGATGTTTGTCCATTACTCATAGATATAGCTTACTAATGTATAAGAAAATCAAATAGCCAAAATATGAGCAATCTAAATGTCATTGACTAGACTGAGTAGCTACGAGCATGGCGAGTGTAGACAATCAAAACAGCTCAGACATCAATTGGGTGATCGACCCTGGGGGTAGATGAACTAGAAAGTTGGACTACATCTGAATAGTTGAATGAGAAAAGTTGACCAAGAAATTGGTCGAGTCACAAATCGGTTGGTTCAGATAGCTCTCGGGAAGGAAAAAACCTGTATAAGGGTGAAACACCAGATAACTGCTAATCACACGACAAGAAATCGATTGATAAGGAGTCACCTAATTAGAAATCAACGAGGGTGTAATTGTCATTTCATAATATCCATTAGATCTCTATATAAATAAATGATTTAACTTTATTCGGTGATAAATCTCTATTTTGGTTCAGCAATATGAAACACCTAAATTTTTATATTTACATTTACAACACTTTGATTTCATAAACTTAATTTATGAAAAATTATTTTTCGCTTTTAAAAAATAAATAAAAATGTTATTTTTTATGTGGCACGAATGCATGTATGAAATTTTAGGTGCTAGAAATGTAAATAAGTAAGATATGTTAATGCTCATTGTTAGAACTTTATAAAAGGTAATGCCCATCATTTTAATATAGGAGATAGAAAATAAATAAATAATAATAATAATATCATGATAAAAATTATATTATGATGGACATCAAATTAATGAATTTAATTTGAAATTAACGCCATATTTGAAATTTGTATTGAATTCATTTCACAGAGAATACAATAATTTTCATGTTCAAAATAAGTGAGTAATTAAAATCTATCGAATTAATATAATACCATCTAAAATGTCAAATATTACACCTTTAATGATTACATTCCATTCCTCGCGCGATTATATTTTATTGTCGTATGAAAATCCAAAATACACACGAGTGAAAAGAAATTGACAGAGAATACAATACGAACGTTTACTTGAAAGTCTCGAAAGAGAGAACATCTTAGGGCCCGGCCTAGTTGAAATAATTTAACTATGTTGTTGTATGTCACAAGATTTTAACAGTTCTTAAATAACTAAAAATAATACTACATATGTGATATGTAACATTTGCCAAGGAAGTAGAAAATAATATTGAGGAAGTGACGATGACTTGACTACTACGAAGAAAAGTTAATTGTAGAGATTGTGCGTCACAAAATATGATGTCAGTGTCTTTAGTAATGGCAATGCGACGATCGTGGTGGCGTCAGCAGTGGTGGAGTGGTTTGGTGGAGGCAGTTGGGCAATGGTGGCCCGACAACGATGTGATAGTCCAATGGTGGTGGAGCTCGACAACGACAATTCAGGGGGTAGTGGAGCTTGACAATGACAGTATGACAATGGTGGAGCTCAAGAATCCTCATGAGCTTATATCTCCCTACAATCTTCTCCTCCCTGTCTAGGTCCCCCACGCCCATCATAAAGAAAAGTGAGGCTCTGTTTACAGATTTTAAGAGCGATATTCTCCTAAATACTACATGAATTTGGACAACTCCATCGGGAGGCGCATAGTAATTTCATTGATTGAATGATATCAAAATTGAATGATTTTGGACTTGTTGGATTCATCACATCGAGACGCTCAGTGACAATCCGGCGATGGTGGAGCTCGACGACGACGATCCAGGGGGTAGTGGAGCTCGATAATGACAGTCTGACAGAGGTGGAGCTCGAGAATCCTCAGGAGCTTATATCTCCCTACAATCTTCTCCTCCGTGTCTAGGCCCCCCCACGTCCATCATAAAGAAAAGTGAGGCTTTGTTTACAGATTTTAAGAGCGATATTCTCCTAAATACTGCATGAATTTGGACAACTCCATCGGGAGGCGCATGGTAATTCTCTTGATTGAATGATATCAAAATTGAATGATCTTGGACTTGTTGGATTCATCACATCGAGACGCTCAGTATGACTATATACTCGTTAGATTTAGAATTCATTTGATCATTTATCCAACCATCCAAAATATCCAATTACACTTAAACAATTTTATCTGGACTTGATTGGACCCGGGTTAAACCAAGTTTAAAGTTGCTAGGTTTGTCTTTTAGAGACGCTCAATTCGATTATAAGTTTGATGAAATTAAAATTTGGATGATCACAAGTTCTTATTTGGAATTATTTTTTAGTCAAAATGCTCAGAAATTCATATATGATTAAAATAAAAATTTAAAGTGCATTTAATCCAAGATATTTTTAATTAATTTATTCGTTACACAAAACTAATCCAAATAGAATAGAAAAGAAAATTTATCTACTTTTTAAAAATTTGAAAAATCAATAAGAAAAGGCTAAATTTATAAATATCAATATTTTGACTGCTGTATATGTAATTATTCCATCTTTTTTTATTGGATTCAACCGAACTGTTCCGTAGCTTCAGCCTTTCCAATTCCCGCCCCGATCCATCATTGCGTTATCAATTCGCCACCGAACTCTGGACGACGACGACGACGACGAAAATGCTGTCAGTTTCATTTCGTATCATCGGAAGCGACAGAACAAGCGGACGAAAATTGTGTGGGCAAAACCTAATCCAAAGGTAACCCTAGTTCAAGAAAGAGTGGCCTGCAGAAGCCGCAGCTAAAGCCATGGCCGTTTCGCCATCTGCCCATCCGATGTGGATCCTCTGGATTTTATTGGCGTTAGGGTTTGGATGCGGGCGTACGGCGGCCTTCAAGGTGCCGTTTCGAGTGAAGGATGCACTCCCGATTCTCCCACGCCAGATATCCTGGCCGGTGATGAATATCCTCCATAGCGCGGTCGATCTGCTGCCTGCTTTCGTGGGGTCCGTCGTTCCGGAGGGACAAGTTGTAACGTGGAAGGGGGCATGCTTCTCGGAGAACGAGGCTCGACTTGAGTTTAGTGAGAGTGATTGGGAAAACGGCCTCGGAGGGGGGGTTCTGTATATAAAGGTAAGGCATGATCTTCCTGTTTTTTCTTTGAAACTTTGCTGAGGATGCAAATTCGATGGTAATTTGTTTGTTCTTGACGTTGAACTTTATTTCAGGTGTGTTAGAACTGAATAACTTGTTTAAGCTGACTGTAGGTTTTGTCATTTCTTACTGTAGAAACAATTGTATCTATATGGTTGGGTCTTGATTCTTTTGTAAACAGCATCTCATCAAATAAAAAAGGGATTTTTATATATCAACCACCTAAAACTTTAAATATAACAGATTGATGACCCAAATTTTAAATTTTACATTTCAATCACCCAAAAACCACCCAAAACTTAAATATAAAGGATTGCCGCTGATGTTTCAAAAGAAAATAAAGATTTGGGTGGTTGAAATATAAATGTTAAGTTTAGGTGGTCAATACTCAATACATTATATTTAAAGTCTTAGGTGGTAGGACTGTAAAAGCCCCAATAAAAAAATAATAATAATAATAAAGAGTAAAATACTATGTGGGTTAAGGTAAAGTAATTTTACTGATGTATGCTTGAAGCGACGTGCTATAAAAAAAAGAAAAATTGAAGCATCTTTGTAATGAGCTTTTGTCTCTCTGGTGAGCTGAAAAAGTCTCATGCTCAATGAGAAGTGGCCCCTTGAATTATATTTTTAGAATCCTATACTTTAGATCTTCCTAGTTCTTAATCTATAGATTTATTGCTTGTGGTTAATGTAGATATTTTGCATTTTCAATGTTGGTTTTGAACTGAAAAAATTTCTATAGAAAAATACTTCGGTAGATCATGAATTATATACTTAATGAGTTTAAGGAAGTTTGCTTACATGTGTTTGCATTGTTAGCTCACTGTTGGAAGTTGATTTTGATGTTTGCTTTCCTTTTATTTATTTGTAGAGAAAAGTATCAAAATGATCCCTTGCTTTTTGTTTGGGGTCATTTTAGTCTCAATGCCTATAAAAGTATTAATTTAGTCCCCAGAAATTTTTTTAAAGGGGAGCTGTAATAGTCCTCCTAAGGGACTATTTCAGCCCATATCGAAAAAGTTTGAGGAGTAACTTGACACATTTATAGGCCCTAGGACTAACGTAAATAGTAAAGGGACTATTTTGGCATTTTACTCTTGTGAATATCTTTAGGTCAATTCATGTTCTCTAATCCCCCACTTGTGGCACTAGTGTAGTGCAGGAGTTTGATAACCATGGGGACAACTGTAGTTACAATTAAAAGAGGTAGTAGATGCAGAATTTCTATGAAATTGTTAAAAAGTTGTGCAATTTTTCCTTGTTTTCTTTCCTTATAATTTACACTTTTAACTTGGTTCGCGTTAGTTTAATGAAATCAGAACTTCATTCCTCAACTGTTCAAACAGTGAAGATAACCATTGATTATACCTTTTAATTACCAACTAAAGAAGCATCTTTCTTTGTTTTACAGACTAGTTTAGCTCACAGCTGGGCTTGCTTGGATCTCTATGTATTTGCAACACCATACAGGATAATTTGGGATTACTACTATTCTGCTCGTGAACACACTTTAGAAATAAAGTCATGGGAAGAACCTGCAGAAAAGGAATATGTGTGCTACGACTCTCATTTTCTTGTCTTTTTTTTTTTCTCCTGCAAGTTAAATCGCACGGCCATCATTTCTGATTTCTTTTTGTGCAGGTAAAACAACACGGCGTCTCTGTATTTCTCATGCCATCAGGAATGATGAGGACATTTTCATCACTGATCGATGTCCTTCCCTTGTTTTCTAATTCTGGTTGGGGTCAGAATGCAAATATTGCCTTTCTTAAAAAGCATATGGGGGCTTCATTTGTAAAGCGTTCACGTCCTTCGGTTTCTAATATTCGCGAGGAAGATGTTCACACAGGAGACTTTTTGGCTGTGTCGAAAATACGTGGTCGTTGGGGTGGATTTGAGACCCTGGAGAAATGGGTCACTGGTTCATTTGCTGGTCATACAGCAGTTTGCTTGAAAGATGAAATGGGCAAGCTTTGGGTTGGAGAATCAGGGCATGAGAATGAGAAGGTGTGCCCTAGAATCCCTCAACCAATTGTTTTCTGAGCAGGATTTTAAATTTTGTTTTGCATTTGCTTGTTTTCCTTTTACCTTTTAAGTAATAATTCGTACTTTTGTGAAACATATAAATTTATCTGAACTTCGTACTTTACATCATCTACCTAAACATGAGTGCATCAGTCCTTATTGTATAATTTTGATCGTGATTTCTTAACTTTAGTCCTCTGGATTTCATGGAATGTTTGCAGGGAGAGGAAATTATTGCGGTAATTCCATGGGCTGAGTGGTGGAAGTTGGCTCGAAAGGATAATTCTAATCCTCATATATCTTTGCTTCCATTACACCCAGATTTGCGGGCAAAGTTCAATGCCACAGCAGCATGGGCTTATGCTACGAGTATGTCAGGAAAACCTTACGGTTATCACAACATGATATTCAGTTGGATTGATACGGTTACTGATAACTTTCCCCCGCCTCTTGATGCTAACTTGGTATGTCATGATATAAGAAAGTCATTAATTTTTTAATTAATTTGTCAAATTTCTTGATACACTTATTTCTTGTTCTGTATCATATTAGAAGATTTTGATTAATTCTCAATTTTTCTAGTTATGAAGGGACAATATTTTTAGTAATGCCCTAGTTTTTAATGATCCTTGTGTCCTACCTTTTGAACATTGTTACATTTTCTAAGTTTATTTTATGTATTTATCTTGTGCACATTTTACATTAGAAAACTTGTAATCTTTATCTAGAAATGTGGACAGGGAGTCAAGTAGAAGAAGTAGAGCTATAAAAGAACCACAACGGCCTAATACACATTGCCAACCTGCCAATGATACTCGATTTTGAGTCATGTTGAGTAAAACGAATCATTGGTTTTAAACAGGTCATGTTGGATTTCTAACTTATTGATTAATTAAGTATGGACCGAGCTATTGTGGGAATTTTTTATAAATGTTGTTGTTGTTGATTTGACCATCTAATATAGTCAACTAGATCCTGTAGGGCCTAATGCAATGGGATTTTCTCCTCTTGATTATTGGTGGTGGAGTTGATTCATATATGAATGTTTCATAACTCCCGTCTGGATCTCCTTGATTAGCCTAATTTAATTTCTTGAACATGCTGGCTGTTCATTGTGGAAATCCTTTATGAATTCTTAGAAGTGCATTGAGTGATTTTGCCGCGTGATCAGGGAAGACCAGTCAAATGATGAACCAAAGGGTATATCCACACTTGATTCTTTTAGGAGTTTGGCAACATTTGGATGCTGTAGAGCAGCTCTCATTGTATTTTTGGCAGCCTTATGACACCTCCAGTCATGCTTGCGTTCTTCTATGGGGAGGAGATTGTTCATATTTATTTGATAATCTTGGAGAGGCTGAGGGAGGTGCAATCATAGCTGATGTGCTCGAATGAGTGGATATTATAGAAATAGTATGGATGACGTGGCGTAGGACTTGCTGGAAGAGTGAGAGTTAATGCAAAGGAGGCAAATAGGTGATGTTGCTGCAATGTTTTAGGGTTATTGTGTTTATTTCCAGGATAGAGAAATATACATTGCAATTAAATCATCTTATTTATACTCAAGTAAAAATATTTTAATTCTAATGCCAAACAAATAAGATGTGCAACCATAGTGTGTTACATTCATCTAATTAAATCTTTGCTCTTGTTTTATTGTGCCTGCTGTAGCCCATTTCAGACTGTCTTTGAATGTGGTGAATGAAATTTATTGCTATATGAGTTTTGATTTGACCTTTAGGTTTGTTACAAAAGAACTTATTTGGCTCAGCCTTTTGATGTCTAGAGTCAAGTAATGGTGTGTTGATATTGTCTTGGGCTCCTCTTATGCTTAAATCAATCTCTACTCCTAGGCTTATTGGGAAACAAGCGTTGTATTGGTCTTGAACTCGAGGGTTTGTTGGATCACCTTGCTTTCTTAGTTTAGCTCCTTGGGGCTTACTGAATCAAAAGTTATCACATTTAACATGAATGGTTGGATTTTTTAATGGAAACCTAGATTAACCGTTAGGCTTGTTTAGATGATAAACGAGTCTTTTGATCTGATTATCAGCCGACTTAGCCCTTGAAAATGATGTGTCTAGCTTGTCCTTTAGACTTTTTGAGCTAAAGCCCTAGTTTGTCTTTATAAGTTATTGGAATAACACTAAATTTTGCTCTATCTTTGGACTTCTTGATCTATAGCACATATGTTAATGATTGTTGAACTTATGAAGTCAAGATGGTCAACTTGGCCTTGATGCTTATTAGGCTGATGATAGGCTTTTTAGCTGGACACTTAAGTTCGTTGAACTAACAGAGGATTAGTTTGATCCTTATACTTGTTTAACTAATAAAGATATTATATGACTGCCAACTTGCTACTGTTGCTTGTTGAGTGGACCTATTCAGCTCCACCTTTAGATTTGCTAAGCTAAGATAATTTAACTTGTTTAATCGACATTATATTCTAGCTTTAGGAATTGTTGAGCTTTAAAAGTTCCATATGCATGAACTTTACCATTGGACATTGTTTCTTTCATGTGATAACTTTTAAGTCAGTTGAGTTGAGTTTCATATCTGCTGGCCTTTAAGTTTTTTGATCTAGAATGAGGCTAGTTTGCTTCGATGTATTAAATCATGGAAATTAAGTTTGACCTATCCACTGTGGAATAAGTAGCAGTGGATTATTTTAAGCTCATTTGCTTGGTGCTTGTTTAGTTATTACACATTGTTTAATTTTTGGACATTTGGATTGAAAAAAGTTTGGGTTTAGAGCTAATTTAACCTGTAAGTTTATGGTGACCAATCTTTGGCTTGCATTGATATGGTTCCATCTTTGACTTGGCTTCTTTCCCTGGCTGAACAACACTGTTAACATTGTGGAAGTTGTCTGTCTTCATCAGGGATATTAACCATTTTCAAAATCAGCAAGTTCGATGCTTCAAAGTACCATAATATCAGATCTCCTCCATAAAAAATTCAGATTTAGAGACAATATGCGAGATTTCAGTCCCAAAAACTTCAATAACTAGGTTTCACTCAAAGAAACTAAATCAATCTAAGAGAAATATAAGAAAGTTTAATCTAAGAGGTGACCGGAAGATAAATATTAAATTATAGGATTTAATATAAACTAAGAAGCGAATTTGAAGATTAGATTATAATTTATAGGATTCAATTTTTTAAAATATTATAAAGTTTTAGAGAATATAATTATTTTTAAAATATGATAAATTTTTTATACATAATTATATAAACTATTTTATATTTCGAAAAATAACGATTCGAACACGATCGAACAAATGAATGTTAGGGGTTCCGTTTATAAACCGAACGAAAAAAAAATTGTTCGTGTTCATCTCGTTTTCTTATCAAACGAATCGAACACGAACTGTTCGCGAACAACAAACTTTTTTGACAGCCCTAGGTTCACCTTAACTACAACCCAAATTTATTTTAAAGCCTGCAACAAACAGACCCTAAAATTGTCTTTTTGTGACCTGCACAATTAATATGTAAATAAATGCCTGTTACCTTGAGTTTATCTTTCTTTAGAAGTGGGTGTGGACACATAATATGCTAAATTTTTTTAATGTTAAATGAAAGTTTTCTCAAATGACAACCCACTTTTTAACTAATATTTGTGTTTCTGTCAGTTTGCAAGTGCATACTGTTGTTGATTTGGAATTTATGGCTCTTTTTTCATTATTTACTTGATCTATGTGAGCTTTACCCCTTCCAACACCCTCTAATCTATCAATTCCATGTTTCTTTTATTTGTTTCATTTTTTAATAGGATTTTTTTGCAAATTATTGTTACATTCCTTCTCAGATTCTAATGATTTTTTGTAATAACTTTTACATGTCTATTGTTTTTCAGGTAATGACCATTATGTCTATGTGGACTAGATTACAGCCTGCATATGCTGCTAATATGTGGAATGAGGCCCTTAATAAGCGGCTAGGAACTGAGGTATGCAATTTCTTGTTTTGCCAGCTAGCCTGTTTATATAATTTAGCTGTTAATCTTCAATTCTGGCTAAAAGCATCGAGAAAGCCATTTGCGTTCTAGTAATATTCTTAAATTTTTAGTCAGCCTCTACTTGCATAACGTCTAGTTCTGTTTGAATCCATAATGTGTTATAAGAAATGTTTATTAATCTGGTAATAGTGTAATAGTTAAATCACCCTTCCCGATTAGTAGCTAGTCAAAAGTGGTGGGAGATTGGCACTCAATAACCCTTAACAAATTTTAAATGTCTGACTATACTAATCCTTTATGTCTCTATATTTGAAGTTGATCAAAATCATGATAAAATCTTAAAATTAAGTTGCCGTCTAAGTTGAATAGAGAAATGAGAAGGGGATGGATGGTGTTGAGTTGGTAAGCAATTTGGATGTTTAAGATGTGATTTTCGACTTGTTTAGAAAATCAATTGCTGCGTAAATCAGAATATAGCTTGTAGGTTTTCTCAACCCAGCTTGGTGCCAATCCAAATCAATTCAATTTAATTCAAGGTCGTCAACTCAAATTGACACGACATGCAATAGCTTTCAACTGGTATTGAATGAATTCCATGCACTGTCATAAATTCCTGTCATGCTAATGATTACTATGGAAAACAACTTTAACGTCTTTAATTTAACATTGATTCAAGTTTGTTTTCATAAATGATGAATCCAAATTGACATTTGATTAATCATTTTATGCCTTTTAATTTAAGAAAATGTTATTAAAATTTAATTCAAGAATAACATACCATCATCATCATTAGCCTAATCCCGTTTCTCTTGATTCAACTTTAAAAATCCTCATTTTCCATTTGTTCTCGCTATGTGTTGCTTGAATTGTTAAACCTATTCATCATAAATTCTTTATAATATTCTCTTAATGCAAAGTGCCCGAGACACGTATTCATTTTAAATATATTGCTTTGTTTATTAAGATATATCCTTGTATGTATCTCATTCCTCTATGATCGATCTGGTTACTAACGCTTATTATAAATAGGTAACACTTTATATTCTAATAGCATGAATCAATAATTTTTAATATCACACTTATTAAAATTACATTTCATAGTATTTGTTATAATAATTCTAAGCTCTCTATTATCTTAAATATTTTCTCCATTATTTTAACTTTCTACTTATTTCAATAGATTTATCACTGATTATAACTATGTTATATATAAAAGCATACACAAGGTAGGGGTGTCAATATTGGACCTAATAATAAAACCCAGCTCAAACCTGACATGAAAAGTTTGATTTGGGGCTCAACCCATGTAAGATTTAAGTAGGGTTCGTGTTGGCTTAAATTACTCAAAAATTGTGGCAGGTTTTGGGTAACCCAAAAATGATGACTTAAATATAAACAAAAGCTTATAAGAAATTATAATTTTTATTTTTAATAAATTAATATGTCCAAATATGGTAAGCATATTGATTTTTCGTCAGGTTGACACAAATTTGTTGCAGCTTTTTGTGTCGGGTTGGTTGGGTTTGGGTCTTATCGAGTTGGATTTGAGCTGTAGTTTTGACCCTTTTAATGAACGAATCAAATTTGAGTTGACTATATTCATGTTGGGTCATTTTCAGGTCGAACCTGAACTCAATTCATGAATCCAAATTGATAAAGGCACTTCACTTTCAACATTTTTTGCGAGCAATTTCCCAAATAACAGTGCTGACCCTTTATGTAATTGTACTTTAGCCAGAAATGATTTCATCACTCTACAACTATTTTTAATGCTATTATCTCATCTTATGTATCATTGACAACTTGAACATATTGAAATTTTTTTCTACCATAATTCTTGTTGTATTTGATCATATGCTTTCACAATATCAATAAAAAACTGCATAGTTTTTTATTATGCTCTTTATTCATTCTTATTAATTGTCTTACATAAAAATTACTTATAATTTTTTGAGCTTGAAACCAAATTGATTTTTATAACTAATATATTTTTATAAGTTTATTTTAATATGCTTTTTCTCATATCTTTATTATATAATTTTGAAGTTCGATTCTTCTATAGGAAATATAAATTTGAACAACTCCTTCATTCTTTAAGTATTGATACCAAAGTGCTTCTTCTTCAGCATTTCACTTCCCCCTAATCTTCCATAATTCATGTGCAACGTATCTCATTTGAATGCAAAACTTAATCTTTATGCCTGCTTTTTGGAGCTTATTCTACTTGATTAAAATCATTAGTTCTGTCTTTTGGCTTGGCTATTTCTATGTAGTCCATTCCTTTTTCTTAGCACCAGGCCTACATACATCATCAAAGAAAAAGTAAAAAAGTAAAATACATAAATAAATATATATATAAAAATAATCAATGATCTACTTTGTCGTTTACTCACTATAATCTTTGCAAGGCTTTTAGTCTTATTATATTCATTTTAAGCTCTAGTTGCATTAACTTGTGAAAACTCTTTAAAAGATCTTTTTCTTTTATTATTATTTTTTCCTCCTCTCTCTATGGCCATGGGGTTTATTTGTTACGAATTTAAATTGGATTTAAGTTAAATCTTGCGACTTGTGAGACAAAAGAAATGCCATCTTTTAAATTCTAAATTTAATAAATCTAGTTTATCTTATTTTTTTCAAAATTTTGCCTTAAATCCAGGTCTTGGCAGGATTTAATAAATCTGGATTTACAGGGATTACTAAATCCATTATCAGACAGCTCCCAAGTCTCACTCTTTATTAGTGTTTGCTCTGTTTTTTTGACTCTCCTAAAATTTGTACAACAATCTTTGTAATAAAACTAGCCATTTTACCTCACACCAGGTTTGGCTTAACTAAAACATTTTAATTTAATTCTCTTAGCCATTTAATAGTAAAACTTGAAAAAAAAATTCTAATTTTTTTTACTTTTCGCCAACTTAATAATTATTTCTTTTGATTGTTTTTTCCCTGAATTTTATGACATACAGTCATAATTACTATTTTATATTGTTCATTTAAACTCTCTTATCAAATCACCTTAAAATCTTTACATTTTTTTCATATACAATGTTTACAAGATAAATATTTTAACCTGTGAACTATCAGACATTTGGATGTTATGTATATTCATTTAAAACCTCGAGATCTTTCCGAGTACAGCTATCATGTTAATGCTTATGGTTATATAAAATGTATTAAGTATAAATTGAGTACATCTATCATGTTAATGCTTATGGTTATATAAAATATATTAAGTATAAATTGAGAAATAAGTGTATCTTCATTATTCTTGAGATCTAATTTTATCCATATACGGCAAAAGCCATATTAAGAAAGGGTAACTTTATGATGAAATAAAAGAGAACACTCTTGTATTTCAGTAGTCCCCGATCATAATTACTAGTAGCATGTGGGCTCCACTGTCTTCTATTTTGTTTTTGTGATGTGCTAGAGGACATTATTCCTGTATTATATTTGCTAGATCCAAGGTTTAAAAATCGAACCGGACGGTTCAACCAGTTCGACCGTGAACCGGCTAGTGGTACGGTTCTGGGCAGGCTAAAAACCGGCCTTGCAGTGGACCGGCTGGGACCCGCCCCGGCTGGACCCGGCCTAACCTGCCGGTCCAACCGTCAAACCGGCGAACCGGTCGTGATTCGAAAATTTTCGTAGTTCTACCCAAGGTGGAAAGCCCATGAGTTATTGATACAGCTATTTCATATTCTCATACCTTTCAAACTGAACTAAAGATTTAAAGATGTGGGTCTAAACTATAAAAGCTAAAAGAGTGTTTGACCAATATAACAATAAAATAAACATATTATTTAATGCCTCGAGCCCACCTATCCAAAAAGATATTTAACTTTTTGGAATTATTTTACTTTGTTTATACTTTCTACAACATTTTTTAAAGATCAATTAGTGAATACATCTTTGAGATATGGGACTAAAAGTAATGCAAGCATGAGAAAAAAATATTTTAAGTTAGAGCCACAAATATTGCACATGAAACTTATAAAATATTGAATTTGATTACTATATAATTAATCAATAAAAAATATATATATTTTGTGATTCATGAGCATTTACATACATACCACCCAATTTGTATTTATTTAACATATCAAACATCTAAACTTTATTTTTTACATTTATACTACCTAAATCACTCATATCACATCAAAAAAATCATTATTACAAAGAAATTTAATTTACATACATTCCATTCAATTTTTTTTATTTACATATCTAACACCTAAAATCTTTTTACTTTATATTTATACCACCAAAATTATCTAAATCACATAAAACATATTTCTATTTTAATTTTTAAAGAGTGAAATATATATTTTCATGCATAGATAAAATGAAATTTGTTAAAATTAAATTTTAGGTGTTAGTTATTTAAATACGTATGAATTGAGTTGGGTGTAAATCTTATGTATTGACATTTTTAAATACATTTATGATTTATTAGGTTATTTGGTTGAACCTCCAGTCATCCCCGGTTCATCCTTTGTAATTTAAACCTTTTCTTCTAACAGTTTAATGTCCGATCCGGTTTTTACAACCTTGGCTAGATCTGAATCGTAGATATCAAATATTACCCTCAAGTCACCAGTGAAATTAAGTAACACATTTCCATTCTCAGACAGATTGGGCAAAAAGTATTGAACCCAATTCCGCTAGAATTGCATATATATATTATTAGTAGCATTTACATACATTATCACCCAATTCTTATATATTTACATATATGTAACACCTAAACTTTATTTTTTACATTTATGCTGCTCAAATCTTTCTTATCACATAAAGAATAACACTATTTTAACTTCTAAAATATGAAATACGCCTTTTCATGCATAGAGATGGAGGCATATATGTAAAAATTAAAGTTTGGGTGTTAGATATATACATACATAGGAATTAAGTGGTTGTATATAAATCTTCCTTCTTAATAATATTATTCAGGCTCATCGAAAGCTACCATGCTTCACTTAAAACATGTTTGATTTTTTTCATCTTGTGGTTGGGATCAAAATAGTAATCAGGTGTCCCTCCTATCGCGAACATGTGATGCTGAGTTCATGAACGCCCACATTTTTTTCCATTGAATGTTGCATTTGATGTCAAATATAGTTTATAGTTCTTACATCCACTCAGTGCCATTGAATGATGCATTTGTTCTCAATTTTTGTTTATAATTTTTGTACTACTTTGGAACAATGTTTACTGTTTCGTCTTAGATATTCAATTGCTTAGCAAGTTAGAATTATAATATAATGAATCGAATAATATGTTGAATTATTGATATTAGTGTGCCTACACATCAATAAATAAAATTATGCTCAATAATGAGAATATACTTATGATTATAAATGCGGTAGATTGCTATTAGAAATATTATACTCATGCGAAAACAGTATGAGCCTTCACTTCCTATTTTGAAGCGATTCTTAAAATTGTCAGGTTGGTTGAATTAGCAATCATTTGTGTTAACATACAAGTAATCTATGGGTAGAGTCTCTAATACATGTTAATTATGAGGTGCAATCGTTCAAGCTCTTGGTATTTACTATAAGGCTTATTTGGGATTTTTTTTTTTAATTTTTTTTATTTTCTTTTGTTTTAAAATATGTTTGTTCAATTTATTTTCTTACATATTTTGTTTTTTTCTTTACTTTTAAAAATAAATTATTATTATTTTAAATACACTCAATATAATTTTTTAGGTCTTTTGAATATTTTTAAAATTAACTGCCAGTGCACCTAGTCGCCACCAACTGCTCTTCTCTATCAGAAACTTTCAAAAGAAAATAAAAATAAAACATATTTTGTTTTAGTGTATCAAATATATTTTATTTCAAATCAAAATATAAATAAATTAAATTTAAAAAAAAACAAAAGTATTTCTAAATGCTCCTTTTAACTTATTTTAAAATCTTAGTTATATTATGACAAACTATTAGCTAGCTACTAACACTTAAGCTAAAAATGTTCTAGATGCCTGCTTTCGATTTTCTTGGCTAATCTACTGTTGAAAGACCAGCTTACGTTCATATCTCCATCAAGCACTCCTTTTTACATTTCACTTCAGGTGAAATTGGTAATGTGAAAATGTTATTTCTATGATCAAGTATATGCATTTGCGCCGCTCCCCTTGCATTCCAATCAATTGAAAAACCGAGTTCACAAATTGCAGTTCTTTTTGGACTGGATAAGCATTTGAATGTGTATTCCACCATATTTATTGTGAGAGAAGCTTTTAGTAGTAGTCTATCCATTTGTTCTATAACATTAGCTGATAAGGGCTTATTTGGGATTATTTTTTACTTTTTGTTTTTGTTTTTATTTTGAAACATAATTATTTGATGTATTTTGTATATGTTTTTTTTTTATTTCTCTTAAAAAAAATTAGTTTATTTTTAAAACCATTCATAACATCTAAAAAAATGTTTCGAGTATTTTTAAAAATAAATAATCATGTTATAACATAAAAAATACGTTTTTTCAAATAAAAATATAAACAAAATAAAAACAAACTAATACCTTATTGAGCTACCTTCTTTGTGCATGAGCTTCGTCTAGCTTCAAATATGTTAATGTTACGCCCGTAAGTGAATTGGTCCCTTCTTGACCAGTCGAGAGCCGGCCAACCGGCACTCCACTACAGTGGACGGGTAGTCTTTTCCTCGAGAAAGAGCAAGACGACAAATTGCTATAGCAGAAGAATATTGGGGGCAGGTGGGGTCCGCGCCAACCTTAATCACATACTCAAGGAGGAGAAATTAAAGAAGTTTGAGGGAAAGTTGGGAAAGAAAGTTTGAAATGCTGTGAGAGGACTCTTTTAAGGGGAATGACCTAGAGTTTCTTTTTTTATGCATGTTTTGTTTGTTGTTGTACTCTTTTTCTTCTTCTGGTGTTCCTAGCTACGTTTAGGATTGTAGGAGAGCCGATTTACCTCTCGAAAGGTAAATCATCATTGAATCTTGTTTGTTTTCATTTGTTTTTCGTATGCGAAGCACTCATTTGAATTTTTCCCTCCATCTATTGCCATTTCATCGTTGTTGCTTGCTGATTTTGGTTCCGGAGCATATCAGTTAAGCATATTTTATTTAAAATATAAACAGAAAAACAAGAAAACAAAATTGATCCCACACCCCCTAAAAGTGTGTTTACCTTTTGATTGTGTCAGGACTTAGACTTGCATGGTATTATTGCCGAGACGGAGCGGCGCGGGATGACCTTTGATCAGCTGCTCACAATTCCTGAGCAAGATGATTGGGTGTACAGCGATGGCAAATCAACAACATGTGTTGCCTTCATCTTGGAAATGTACAAAGAAGCTGGAATCTTCGAACCTCTATCAAACTCAATCCAAGTTACCGAATTTACTGTAAGTAACTAAATGTATTTGGAAGATTTACATACATACCACTCAATTCTCATTACATTTACACATCTCTCACCTTAACTTCAATTTTTACTACAGACCGCCTTATTTATACATGAAAAGGTGTATTTTATTTTTAAAAGCTAGAATGATATTGAAGATTTGTGCGGTGTAACTGTAAAAAAACAATTTTTAGGTGTTCGATATGTAAAATACATAGGAATTGGGTGGCATGCATGTAAAAGCCCCAAAATTTTTAGTCAGCTCCGTCTTATTTTAGAAAGATTGACTATTTATTTGGGCTCTGTTTCATTTAACTGTCTTCTAAGGTCTTGTAGGCTACAGCTAAGGTGAGTTTTTTTTTTTTTTGTATGATTTTAAAAATTGAATTTGACCAATTGATCGAACCGATTCAACCGTGAAACGGTTCTCCGACCGATTTGGTCCAGATTTAAAACCACTTCTGCATGGAATTAGCCATAACTAGTGTTAGACCGAGTTGGTTTTTGATGAACCGATTTGTTCTAATATTGATCGATTTTAGTATTTTGATTAAATAGAATGACTGAGATAGAAGTTAAGATTAAAAATAGAGAAACTAATTAAAATAACATATGCCAAACATTGATTTACAATCACATTCAACATATTCTAGAGTGAAATATCTTGGATTAGATTATTGCATGTTAAATCATTGAAAATATCATTTTTGCAGTATTATTACACATTTAAATTATATTAACATAACTTTAATATTTATTACATCATTTTGGTCAACCTGATACCTCACGTTTGCAATTATACTATATGAACGACAGATTCGTGATGCGTACATGCTCAAAATATTTGAGAACAATCGAACGCGTCTCCCCAGTTGGTGCGACGCCGAGGACGACGACCGGCCTTTCTGTCAGATACTCGGAGAGTACCGGATGGAGTTGCCACAGTACAACACCCTCGAACCTTACGCGAAGATGAATGAGAATTGTCCCTCTTTGCCTCCAACCTATGATAGGCCTTTGAGTTGCTGATTCTGTATGTTGGATTGCCTCAAACCTTCAGATGGTGGTGGGGGCAACATTCTAGCTATCAGAAAACCACAATTCGTTAGAGAATGTATATGTCTATTGCTATTGATGTGGTCGACGTCAATATTATTATTAAAATGCTTTTTTTTTTCTTTTGAGAAATTTACATGTATACCACATTATTATTATTATTATTTATTTACATGTCTAACACCCAAAGTTTGATATTTACATTTATAACACATTGATGTCATAAACTTATGCATGGTAAGCATTTAAATATGAATGTTTAGGGTTTTGATATGTAAATATAAGAATTATGTGGTATGCTTGTAAATGCTTTTTATTTTGGACGGGCATTTACATGCATACAACCCAATTCCCAAGTATTTGCATATCTAACGTCTAAATTTTTGTTTTTTTACATTTATACCACCCAAAATATATCATTATATTGACTTTTAGAAGTGAAATGCTTTCTTTCATATATATATATATATATATATATATATACTTGTTAGTGTGTTAAATATGAATCATGTGTTGTATATGTAAATTTCCCCAAATGTTTATGATTGCTTGATTGTTGGCTCGATCAATGACTAAAGTCTGATACAATTGAAAATATATTTTAACAGAAGGCATCTCCATCAGTATTGCCGCTTTGCTGGACCTTTTATGAAGCAGCACGCACATGTTTTCAATAATTGTCACTTTGTTAAACCATAATAAGCAAAATATTCGCACCTCTGTGATATCAGAATAATAATACCAATTTCATAGCCCTTCTAAATTAATATGATATTGAAACCTTTTTCCGAAAGTGCAAGGGTCTGTTTGGGGCAGTTGCAGCTATTTGAAGAAGTAGCTGTGAAGGTTTGTAGAAGAAAGTGTTTTTTAAAAAGCTGCGGCGACTATTATAAATTTATTTTATTTTTAAAAAGTTGTGCCATAAAGTTTTGGCAATCATCCTATTTTAACAACTCGATTGAAAGAAAATAATTTTCTATCACATGATTTTTCTAAAAAAATAACAAAAAAAGAAGCTCTCCTCACTGAACTGTGGTAACTGTCTGAAACCACACTGAACTGTGGTGACTGTCTGAAAAATAAAACAGATAGGAAGCTGTCCCAAATAGGCCAAAGACTCGTTCTTTTAACACTTTAATTTGAAAAAAAAAGAAATAAAAAAATCGGAAGCAAAAATGCAAAAGCTGACATCTAGTGAAGTATTGCTAATGAAGGTGAATAAGTAATTGTGTGTGTGAGAGAGAGTCCTTGTGTAGGACTAGGCCATACAAATAAGGATTGATCGTAGTTTTTCAATAAGGTGGTTATAAAATTTTTCTTAGAAATTTACGGTGATAATCATAAATATATATATATATTTAAAAAAAAAAATCAACAAACATATTTCTTATAACCACTGCACTTTAAAGGGGTTGAAAAAAATTGCTTCTCATCAAATTTTTTTACAAAATACAATAAGAAAGTAGTTCCTCAAATAGAACTGTGATGAAGATCTTCAAACCCGAAAGAGGCAAAAAGTTGTCCTAAAGAGACCCTTACGTATCAAATGTAGAACCCTAATAAATAAAGTATTCCACAGACATTATATACATTATGCATAATAGCTATCATAGTAGTTCAGATTCCACATGCATCAAAAT